AACATAGCCTAAGTCAAAGTCAATTTGAATTGGGAACACCTCAAGACCCGATTGTTTTAATGATTTATTTAATTGTTAATATAAGTATTTTGTGCAGTATGGTTAAAAAAAATTCAACTATTTTGCCTTGGCTCGTGAAAATTTCTGGATCCGCCGCTGTCGGTGGCTCGTCATGAGCGGTCGGTCGCGGGTGACACGAGTGACTCGGCTCGGTCACTAGTGACTCGAGTGCATCGGCTCTGTTGTGTCGGATACGGCTAGGTGTTGCCGCACGCATCGGACCACTGGGGCTAGCCACACGGGCGCTCGGGTTCAGCACTAGCACCACTGGCACGATATTGGCGTCCCCGGGTGCTTCTGGGAATTGCAGGGTGCCTTCAGGCACTACTGGACACTAGGACACGGACGCTGACAACTAATTGTTACTGGCACGGGCGCTGACACAGTCACAGGCCAAACTCATTACACACCTTAGGCGTTGGCACGAGCTGGCATGGGTGCTCACTACCCGTCAGAGGCACTTCCCTGGGAAGTTAACCTCTGACGGGCGATAGCGCACGTTGGGTGCATGGCAGCGGCACGGTTGGCTCCAGTCGGCCGTCCGGCTACTTTTCCGGTGACACTTAATTTATCCAATTTATTTAAGACATAAGGAGTCTAAAAATGTATAAAAACAATAGGATGACTCAGCTCGATTTTTAAAATAGTCCAGGAGTCAAAAACGGGCCAAATGGGGTTCTAGGTCACCGAGTCACTTAACTTTTTTATGCTGGGACTCAAGGCCGAATACTCCTCTATACTTAATAAGATTTTAGGTGTTAAAAGCTTGGCAAATACTCACATGCAACTCTACTTAGCTCGGTTGTCCAAAAATGGCTTGAAATCGGTTTCTACTTGACCGAGTATATAATTTCCAAATAAGCTCAAACTTTACCAACTTATTTGATAATATTTGTAAGGATTTATGGAGTACTAATCTCGGCTTAAACATGCATGAAACTTGACTTCCAAAATTAGGGCTTAATTAACTAAAAAATCCAAAACCGATATAATACTTGTGCTAAACTTGGTTTGCATGCTTAATGAACCTTAAAATATTAAGGATAATCTGAAAAGATGGTTAGGAAGGTGCTTACTTTCACTAAGTTAAAAAATGAACAAAGAGAGGAGCTCTCGGTCTCTTCTCGGCGGTTGCTCGACCAAGGAGAAGCTCCGGTGAGTTCACTTCCGTGACAACTGATTTGAGGTAAACCTCTCTTGAATACTCGGTTGCTCAAAATTGCGAAAGTAGGAAAAAGTCCAAAAATCCTCTAAGGGCTGAAATATATAGGCTCAGTCAACCAATAAGGCGACGACACGTGTGCAGGGATTTACAAACTCGAAATTCGAAAAAGAAGCGTCCGTTCGAAGCCAACCGTTGTGCCTTTTTTGAATACTTGGCCAGAGAGCTGCCACGTGTCCCCCACGTGGACCCTCATTCAAGCGACACGACTTTCCATGGCCAACAGTAAAGTTCTTTGAAAACCCCTCATTAAATGGCTCGTCGCTTCGTTTCACATCCGCAACCGTAGTGGGTTTTGTAGAAAATATCCTAAGTATAGGGAAGGCGCCGACCTCGCAGGTACAAGATGAAGACACGACCTACCGACTCAGACCTTATTGCTTGGAGACGACCTCAGAAAAGATTCTAAAGATCTCCCCCGAGCTCGGGGGCCTGTATGTTGATATCTGAGTTGGACACACACGAGGACTCCGGTTCGAGGACGAGGAACCGGATGAAGACGGCCTAATCTTCTAAGCCGGTCTCTGACCAACCATGGGAATGTCGAGCTGACCGAGGACCAAAGTCAACAAAAACGGCGCGTTACACCGTTTTCGAGGTCGGCACTCTGACCACCTCGTTACAATGTCGATTTGGCCAGGTGACGGGCAATGTAATGGGGCCCTGGAGGCTGGACGGTAGTTCGACTGTCGAAGTCTGACCTGAAGTCATCATCAGATCGGCCCATGCGAGAATCGAGGATCTGAGAAACAATACTATAGTGTCACTTGCCAACTAATGATTATCGATGGGATGTGTCAGCCTAGCCTGCAGCCCTATGGTGCCTAATTCTGTCTAGAGGAACGTCTGCATTAAATGCCCAGCAGGTAATGATTGGAAAAACCACAAATCACTCCTAATCTGTCAGAAGGACGCCCACCTGTCTCTCAGAGCTACTGCATGATAAGACAGCATGAACAGTAGAGGAACAGTGTCGAATTTAAGGCTACTATAAATAGAAGACCCTCTCATTTGTTTTGGTGTTGTTGAACATCTCAACTAGGGGTGGGTACGGTCTGGGACGGTCCGGGATTTGACCTATCTGGTACCTATCCCGGTTTTATGAACCAGTCCGGGACGACACCCCTTCTCAAACGGATCGGTATCAATCGGGACCGGGACAAAACGGTTCGGGATCGGGACAAAACGGGAAAAAATATGTTCAAACTTCAAACTATTCCCTGTTTCACTTAAAAAAAAACTTTGATTCCATTCATAGTTACAATCAACTAATTAAGCTGCAATCAAGCATTGAAGCATTCTGCATTCAAAAAAAATATTTTTGTATAAATTAATGTATNTAATAAAACAAAAAAAAAAAGAGGAATTTACATGTTCCACTTAAACAATCTAAAAATATTACATAATTACATTCCCTATATAATTATTTACAAATTAACTAAGATTGTTATATTTATTTGCATATATGCCTAAAAAGTTGATTTCCTATTTATATGGTAACTTCTCATTCCTATTTACATGGTAACTTCCTATCAACTACGTCTCTCTCCTCTCCCTTATCTCTCTATTCTTCACACGGAGAATACAGTTCTTTTGTTCTTACGTTTTTATTTTTAAGTTTTTTTATAGGTTGATGAAAGCTAATGAAAGCATCCATTATTTCCTAAGATCTGTATAGATTGATGAAATATAATGAAAGCATCGATTATTTCTTGAGATTTTGGACGATGAAGACTAATGATATTTTTCATCCATGTTTGTACAGCGCGAGGAAAAGGCACAACTAAGTTTGCAATTGCAGCCATATTTGGTCGTACCATCCCTCTAGATTTGTACAGGTTTTGTTTTTTGTTTTCTGTTTTGTTTTTGTTTTTTGTTTTTTTTTTCCAGGTACCAAATCATGTGTATTTGAAAAATGTGCGTCTTTAAATCCGTAAATTTCCTGAGATTTTGGACGATGAAGGCTAATGATATTTCGTATTGGATTTCTTCTTTTGTTGATCTTTCTCCATATTTGAAAGCGTCGATCATTTCTGTTTCATGATTCATGATCGCAAGGTGATTGATTTTATTTCCTTGTGAAATCACATTTCCTCTGCTTTATGTACAGTATATCTACGGTATATGTACAGTATATGTTCACGACAGTATATGTTGCGTGTATAGACATGCAGTATATGTGGCGTGTATAGGGAGATATGTTCAGTATATTAGAAGATTTTTTTGTACACTCTTCAGTATACGTTATGTGTATAGAGAGTATATGTTCAGTATATTAGAAGATTTTTTTGTGTAGGGGAATATAAGTAACCTGTTATACATGTTTTTCGTTGCAACATATATTGAATATATACTAAACATAAATACAATATTTACCACCTGACGGTTGCGTGAATTACAATACATGTTTTTATTTCTCTCTATTAAAAAAACGTACGAGCTGCGCGAATTAAGGAAACGGTTGATTTTTATATTTTTTTTTTCTTATGGAAACGACTGATTTTTATTCCATATCAATGAAGGCAAAGTTTTTTTTTCTTTATGGAAATGGCAGAAATCATGAGAACGGAAAGTGGATGGAGTCCTCTTTTAGGTAACTGAATTTTAGACATAGATGTTAAATTTTGACAATTAGGTAGAGACACAAATATTTATTAATGGATAGTAGATTTGCAAAAAATTTAATTTCATGTAGGATAAGTGAAAATTTCCCCCAAAAAAAGAAGTCTGTTAAGATTGAATTGAAACAGAAACAGAAACACCAAGTTGAAAAGTAATTAAATATAATAGTAACATAAATATAAATTAATGTATAATATATATATATATATATAATATTTTTGTACAAAAAAAAATAAAACGAGACAAACGGGACGGTTTGGGAAAAAAATATTAAAAATCGATACCGACATTGTTTCAATCGGTTCGGTACCGGGAACGGTACGACAATTTTAAAAATCGATTGGAACCCTATTTTTTCAGAACGGGACCATTTCAGTCCGATTCGGGATCGGAAAATCCAATTTTTTTGTCCACCCCTAATCTCAACTAACTACTTTCTCTCTCTAGAAACTGTAATAAATCCATGTTAGAATTCCAAGTGTAACAAAAATGTTGACCTCGATCACAGAAGCCGACCTCGTAATTACATAATAAATTTCCCTTTTCGCAGTATTTCATTGTTATTTCACCTTTCACTCACAAAATATTTGATTTTAGCCGTTCAGATTCGTCCATCAACAATTATTTTAAATAAATAAAACTATTTACACTAAATAATATTTTTTAAATTAATAAATAAAATTAGTTGGATTAAATAATATTTTTTAAATTAAATAAAATTATTTAAATTAATATTTTATAGACTAAATAATACTATTTTAAATTGAATAAAATTATTTTAGATTAAATAAAAAAATTTTAATTAAATAATACTATTTTAAATTAAATAAAATTATTTAAATTAAATATTTTTTTTCGGGTATATAGGTCATTTGAAATCAAGGATAAATATATCACACAACCAATGGCCGAAAATTTTTTTTATCCGCCAACAAGAATAAACACATGCGTCAACTCATGAAACGTCATTTGTATTCTTATCTCAATCTTATTTAGTAAACGAAGGATAAGAATGATTAACCAGCATATCCCATCCTATCCAGCAAATGGTCAATAATTGCGGCTGATTGTATATTGTTTCAATTGTGTGTGATGGTATGTGATATCATTGATACAAACCGAAAAGTAAATAAATAAAGATTGTACCCACGTCTGATATGATAGAATCAGATTCCATCCTCAAAGCCATACAAAAACCCCGAACACAAAGACATACTATATTTACCAAAAAATACTATATTTACCAAGAAAGTAGTTAAAAACCTAACAAGGAAAACTACACACCAACCGACGGAATCAAAGACCCCCGATGGCAACAGAATAGCATGCAGCTCCTATTGAAGAGAATCAACCACCCATGAGAGATTTTTCTTTTTTTATTTTTTTGTTTAGGGAGAATATTTTTTACAAAATATAAATGATAAAAAAGGATAAGTGGTGGTTGCGGGAAAGTTAGTGATAAACGAAACAAAAGAAATAGGAAATCTTTATCACAAGCGAATTCAATTAAACTTTGTGATATTTGTACTTCTGCCCAATATTAAACCTATTAATCCGATTGCTAAATCCTTCTGCGACAAGTGTCCTAACGGCCTCAACACCTTGTTCCAGTGCAGCATCCACCTGTTACAATGAATTTGATGTTATAATGAATTTGATGCTACAAACTTACAGCACAGAGAAGTAGAAGGCCGATTCAGAAAAACAGTGCCATTTTTTCNGAAAAAAAAAAAAAAAAAAGGCTCATTCAAAATCGAAATGTACCTTTCACCCGTAAAACTAAGAACACGTTTCAAGAGTGTACATTAAGAGTGTACATTTAGAGCATCTCCAATGAAAAATGATCCATTTTGTGTTATATGGCATGGAGAATGAAAACTAAAAAATTATGTCTCCAATGGTTGATGTTAATTGTGGTATCATTTATGATGTGTAAAATTTTAATTGGTTGAAAAAGATAAATAAATTAAATAAATATGCTAATATACAATGGAAGTTGTCTAGAAAGGCTTCTACATCTAGAAAGCCTTCTAGAATTTTTTCAAGCCACATAAAATTATTTGTGACATGTGGCAACAAAATAGAGAAATAGAATGGCCATTGGAGATGCTCTTAATTAACAACACTCTATATCTGAAGAAGATAAACGGAGATCTAATTGTTTTGTAATTTAGTAATTTACTAATTCAATAACCCACAGGTTCAGCCTAATATAAAAGATCCACTCATTTTTTCAAATCAGCAAAGATTCTCTCAGGGTTTATAATTACAATAAACACTCTAGAATTTGAGGGTGCACTTTTGCAAGACAAACAAATATAAGGGGTTTAATGCACCAAACCCCCCTGTATTATACGAAATCTGCGCGTTTTCCTCCTATATTTTAAAAATTGCGTCAAACCCCTTTCTATTAAGGTTTTGTATGCGCGAAACACCCAAAATCGTCTAAATTTTGGGTGTTTCGCGCATACAAAACCTTAATAGAAGGGGGTTTGACGCAATTTTTAAAATACAGGGGGAAAACGCGCAGATTTCGTATAATACAAGGGGGTCTTGTATATTTTACCCCCAAATATAAGTCTGTATTTTTAATACTAATAGATACATGGATCTTCTTTACTTAGAATACCTTTTAGTGTACTTTTGCAACTAACCCATAATTAATAGAGATTTGTTTCTTTCAAGAGTGGGTTATATTCAATATTTTCGTATCGAAACACACTTTATTAATCCAGTCAAGTAGAGCACTAAATTTAAATAAATAGGTCTGGCTCCATGTAGTAACCAACCTGTTCCCTTTCCAAGGCACTGAACTTCTGAAGAAGAAAAGCTTTAATATCCATTGTACCAGGAGGGTTTCCAACACCTGGAGTATCATTTTGAGGTATTTAATCATGTGGGTATAATAATACAACAAAGAATTCAGTTAAGAAACCAACCTATGCAAAACCGAGGAAATTCTCGACGGCCATCTAAATGTTGCATTACGCTCTTCACCCTGAGGTATAGGAACAAAATTTGCCATTCTAATGAATTGGCTTTATTATATAATATTATACGAATACAATAGTGTGTTGATTTGCAGTAAAATCCAACATTCATGGTCTGGCATAGAAATGGTGGTATATACCATAAATTCATATTTAAGTTACGAATTAGTTTAGTTGTGGTAGCTTGGACTCAAGTTTCAGTTTGATTAGTCTAAATCCCAACTTCGTGAAAGAAAACTTCATCTTCAACAAAAGGCAAATCACAGAAATAGAAGCCAATCTATAACTAGATAGCTGCCAATCTATAAGGTGATAGCTTCAAGGTAAACTGTAGCAGGTAAACCAGACTGATTATCGTACTCATTGTGGATCAATTTACACAATCTATATTATGCATAAAACACTTAATAGTCTTTCAAATCGCGTGCAATGGCTTTGACAAATCTTTACAATCTATATTGAGAGACAATACCCATTGTGATGGCCATGTCCTCCTTTTGGTTGAAGCCTCAAAACTCCATTTGGTAAGCTCGTTTCATCATATACCTACAAGGGTCATTCAGTTGCCAGAATTTCTCATTCACAAGAGTATTGATTTACTCTCACAGGAAAAAAAATTAAAAAATAAAAAAATCATACACAAAGTTGATGATATTCCATATAAATAGACATACAGTTGTTGGGAAAAATACGCTGAATTTTCCATGAAGTCATATCTATAAAAGTGAAATAAAAAATAAAAATTGGACACACCAATTTGATAACGGAGTTCGGCCAATAATGCCTACGTCTCCAGACTACTGCAGATATTTTATTAGGAAGAAAAATTACACTCGTGTTTACAAAACACTTTCAAACTCACTCACAACTCACAACTCAAATACACACAGAAGCTAAATTCTTGCTTCTTGCTCACACCCTTTTTCTCTTATTTTTTTTCTTTTTTCTCTCGTTCTTGGTGTTTTTCTTTTTGGTTGTGGTTGTTGTTCTCTGCCATTTTGCTCCTCTATTTATAGCCGAGGAACACATCAATTTGTCCACAAATTGATCACGTTTAGCAGCAAAAAAATAAAGGCTTTCACACCTTCAGCTATTTTTCTACAAAAGCAGCATTTGTATTAAATGCTCACGTTCAACATTGGTTGTCAAAAGGCTGCCATTCTTTGCCTTCTTTTGCTGCTACAAAGAACGTGGCTTGCAGCCATTTTTGACTCAACAATCTCCCACTTGAGGACTGATTTCAATCTGTCCTCACACCTCAATTTCTGCAGTAGTCTTCTCCGGTCTGTTATTCTAGCAAGCCAACTGAAGTTGAGCACAACTTCAGTTTGTCAATGGTCACCACCTTCGTTAGCATATCTGCCGGGTTCTTACTTCCTACAATCTTCTTCAAAGTCAACACTTCATTCTCAAGAAAAGATCTGATGAAATGATATCGTATGTCAATGTGCTTAGTTTTGGAGTGAAACACTGAGTTCTTTGCCAGATGTATTGCACTCTGACTGTCACTGTGCAAGATACTCTCTTTTTGAGTGAAACCCAACTCTGCTAACAATCCTTGAAGCCATATCAATTCTTTGCTGGCTTCTGTCACTGCTACATACTCAGCCTCTGTAGTGGATAGAGCAACAATCTTTTGTATCCGCGACATCCAACTAACAGCTGTAGCTCCGACAGTGAAAACATAACCGGTGGTGCTTCTTCGGTGATCAACTTCACCTCCGATGTCTGCATCTACATAGCCCTGTAACTTTAGATCTCCTTTTCTAAAATACAGACATTTTTCTGTTGTGCCCCGTAGATATCTCAAAATCCATTTGACTGCTTCCCAATGAGCTTTTCCTGGTTTTGACATAAACCTGCTCACAACTCCCACTGCATGGCCAATGTCTGGCCTCATACAGACCATCGCGTACATCAAACTTCCAATGGCTGAAGCATAAGGAATCTTAGCCATGAACTCTTCTTCTTCCTTTGTTTGAGGAGACTGATCCTTGGATAGACGAAAATGGCTAGCCAAAGGTGTACTGACTGGTTTAGCTTTGTCCGTATTAAATCTCTGCAAGACATGGTTGATGTACTCTGCTTGAGATAACTGCAAAACTCCCTTTTGCTTATCTCTCGTGATTTGCATTCCAAGGATCTTCTTTGCTGGGCCTAAGTCCTTCATGTCAAATTCTTTTGACAACTGCATCTTCAATTTTCTGATGTCTTTCATATCTGATCCTGCTACTAACATGTCATCAACATAAAGTAGCAAGATGATATAGCTGGACTCATACTTCTTGAAGAAACAACAGTGATCAGCATTGCACTTCTGGAAACCTTCCTTGTGCATGAAGCTTTCGAACTTCCTATACCACTGTCTTGGAGCTTGTTTCAGGCCGTACAAGCTCTTCTTCAATTTGCACACCATATCCTTCTTTCCATCTGAAAATCCTTCAGGCTGGTGCATATAGATATCCTTCTTTCCGTCCTGATAGTATTAAACTTTACAACTGGAGCAAAGATTTCAGTATAGTCAACTCCTTCTTTCTGCTGAAATCCTTTGACAACCAGTCGGGCTTTGTATCTCCTGGAACCATCATGGTCTTCCTTCACCCGATACACCCATTTGTTGTGAAGTGCTTTCTTTCCCATAGGTAACTTCACTATAGTTCCCATGTCTGATTTGAAATCAAGGACTTCATCTCGTCCTTCATGGCAAGCTCCCACTTGCTAGCATCCGTGGTTTGACAAGCTTCCATGTAACTTTCAGGCTCCCCTCCATCAGTCAGCAACATGTAGTCCATGTATCTCCTGTTAGGCACATGGGGCCGAGATGACCTTCTCAATACAGGAGCTGGAGTAGGAGGTTCTGATTGCACATCACTTTCTTCATTTGATTCCTCTGACTGAGGACTCCTCATTATAGGACTATCTGGGATATCTTCCACCTCAGCATAAACTGGCCCACTCGCTTCTGAGTTGCTGGCACTTGTATTACGCCGGTCCTTGTACATCACTCTTTCATTAAAGATGGCATCTCTGCTGCGGATCATCTTTTTGTTTTCATCATCCCATATGCGGTAGCCAAACTCATCTTCACCATAACCAAGAAAAGTACATTTCTTTGATTTTGGATCAAGTTTGTTTCTACCTTGATCACTGATGTGCACATATGCTACACACCCAAAAACTCTAAGATGTGAGAGTTTTACTTCTTTTCCGCTCCATACCTCTTCTGGTAACTTGTGATCCAGTGGTACCGATGGACTTCGGTTGATCAAGTAAGTTGCTGTGTTGACTGCTTCTGCCCAGAACTGCTTTGGTAGGCCTGACTGCACACGCAAGCTTCTGGCTCTTTCAGTCAACGTTCGATTCATACGCTCAGCTACACCATTGTGTTGAGGCGTACCAGGCACGGTTCTCTCCATTCTGATCCCGTGCTCATAGCAAAACTTCTTGAATCTGGTTGTTACGTATTCACCACCATTGTCGGATCTGAGCTTCTTGATCTTCAAGCCTGTCTCATTTTCCACCATAGCTTTCCAAATCTTGAAAGCTTCAAATACTTCTGACTTGTGTTTCAGAAAGTAAACACATACTTTTCTGGAGTGATCGTCGATAAAAGTCACGAAGTATTGCTTCCCACCAACGGATGAGACAGTGGTTGGACCCCAAACATCAGAGTGGACGAGCTCAAGCTCTCCTTCTTTGGAGTTCTTCTACTTGTTTGAAAGCTGACTCTCTTCTGCTTTCCAAGTATACAACCTTCACACATGTCAATTTCTATTGACTGGAGGCCTGGTAATTTTCCTTTTGAGTGAATGATCTTCATCCCTTTTTCACTCATATGCCCAAGTCTTTGGTGCCATAGATTGGGACTTTCATTTGCTGCAACTGCAATCAGATGACATGCTCCTGAGGTCTTGTAAAGAGTACCACTCTTTTTTCCTCGAGCAATTGTCATCGCACCCTTTGAAATCTTCCAATCATCACCATGGAAGATTGTCGTGTAGTCTTCACTGGCTAGCTGGCCCACGGAGATTAAATTCTTCGTCAGGTCGGGAATATGTCTAACATTTTTTAATTCCCATACAGACCCGCTCAGCTTGATTTTTATTGCACCTTTCCCTACAACCTCACATGATTGCTCATTACCAAGGTAAACTTTACCAAGGTTACCAGGAACATAATTTTCGAGTAGTTCCTTCTGTGAGGTAGCATGAAAGGATGCTCCAAAGTCTAACACCCAAGACTCTTCTCTGTTCTCCAAAGAACATACCAGCATATATCCTCCTGAGGATGAGGCAACATTTGCTTCTTCTTTTGCCTCCTGACCCTTCGGTGCACTCTTGCACTGGTTTCTGTAGTGCCCGGTCTTCCCACAATTCCAGCACTCGATCGACTTCGAGGTTTGGGAATTACGATGATTTCTGGACTTGAATCTTCTTCCTTTTAATTTGTTGTGTTTGCTTTCTTTGGTTGAACTTCTTCCTCTTGACTCTGTATGCAATACAGAAGAGGTCGATGGTTCACCCGACTCTCTCCGCCGGATCTCTTCACTGAGAACCAAATTTTGAACATCATCAAATCTCAACTTATTGCTTCCCGATGAGCTACTCACAGCCGTGACTGTAGCATTCCAACTTTCTGGTAGGGAAGACAAAAGTATTAAAGCCCGTACTTCATCATCGAACTCGATCTCAACTGAACTCAACTGGGTTGTGACGGTGTTGAGCTCATTGAGATGATGTGCCACCGAAGCACCTTCGGTCATCCGAAGGTTGAACAATCGCCTCATCAAATGAACTTTATTTGAGGCCGATGGTTTCTCGTACATGTTGGAAAGAGCCTTCATGAGGCCTGCTGTCGTCTTTTCTTTTGCAATGTTAAAAGCAACATTACAGGATAACGTCAGCCGGATGGCTCCAAGAGCTTATCTGTCAAGGAGACTCCATTCTTCCTCCTTCATGTCCTCTGGCATCTTTCCTGTGAGTGGTTGATACATATTCTTCTGGTACAGATAATCCTCGATCTGCATCTTCCAAAAGCCAAAGTCCGCACCATCGAACTTTTCGATTTTCATTTTTCCTTCGTCTGCAGCCATCACTTCGACTCTGATCTGACTTCTCTGCCGGATCGTTTCTGCAATTTTGTGAACTACCGTGTTTCAAAACACGTCGGGAGATAAATTGTAGCGCCGACAAAATTGGTACTATTCACGTTTTTCAACGGAATAATAACACCACACAAAAAATACAGAATTAACAATCTGGCTCTGATACCAGTTGTTGGGAAAAATACGCTGAATTTTCCATGAAGTCAGATCTATAAAAGTGAAATAAAAAATAAAAATTGGACACACCAATTTGATAACGGAGTTCGGCCAATAATGCCTACGTCTCCAGACTACTGCAGATATTTTATTAGGAAGAAAAATTACACTCGTGTTTACAAAACACTTTCAAACTCACTCACAACTCACAACTCAAATACACACAGAAGCTAAATTCTTGCTTCTTGCTCACACCCTTTTTCTCTTATTTTTTTTCTTTTTTCTCTCGTTCTTGGTGTTTTTCTTTTTGGTTGTGGTTGTTGTTCTCTGCCATTTTGCTCCTCTATTTATAGCCGAGGAACACATCAATTTGTCCACAAATTGATCACGTTTAGCAGCAAAAAAATAAAGGCTTTCACACCTTCAGCTATTTTTCTACAAAAGCAGCATTTGTATTAAATGCTCACGTTCAACATTGGTTGTCAAAAGGCTGCCATTCTTTGCCTTCTTTTGCTGCTTCAAAGAACGTGGCTTGCAGCCATTTTTGACTCAACAATTGACAGTAAGAACTAACCAGTAGGATATGGCGCAAGGGTACTTGATAATATGCTGCAAGTCGCCCAACCTAGCAAGGCAAAAAAAAAGGAAAATGAGAAAATGTTCTTTATGAGACCACTTTGAGTTCAAGGAAAATCAATATTTGGATGAAATTATAAGTGGTAAAGTGATAGCACAAAGAAAAATATCCATGTAGAAAAACATGTTTCTAAGAATTCTAGTTCTTCACATAACCAAGTTATAACTAAAAGTCATAAATAACAAGACATAATCGATGGGTTCACTATGGATAAACCAGAGTCTAGATAGATGCAAACGTCTCTGACATTAACGAATAGACCCAATATCAACGCACAGAGGGTCCTACACAGAGCAAACCATAGTTGGAGTTTAACATCTAAACAAATTTAGCATACCAAGCATTACAACAATGTTGGCAAATTTAATACTATCGCTAAGTTAAGTAGCAGAAATATTTTACTGTTTCATTGTCAAGTTGGAAGTCACCAGCATAAAGAAAGCTCATAATGGAGATGATTCAAATGTACGTGGGCAGAAATTAGGTCACTCTCAACATACTCTGTCTTAGCGTGAAATATGTTCCATCAATTACCAAAATGAACATAGTGCTCAAATACAAAAATCATCATGCAACTTTGGGAAAGAA